GGGGAATGCCCCAGTAACTTGATGCATCCAGATGCAGGGATAAGTGCTGGCCTGTCAGAAATCATCAGTGGGGGAATGAACAGGGTGTAACATGGCAGAAGGAGCACGTACCACTTCTGTCTCACCCACCCCCTTGTAAAATGCTTTGCCAGCAGTAAATCTTCAATAAATATTTGTTGAATTATTTCAACTATATAAAAATTGTATCCGAAGAAAACAGGCTTGGGAGAAACTTCTAGAATGTTAACAGAGGTTAATTCTGGGTGATGGATTTATGTGTGATTTTAATTTTTTTCTTTATTCTTCAGAAAACGGAAAAAATAACAATGTGCATGTATTACTCTTATGATTTAAAAATTTTTTTTTAGTGTTTTGTTTTTGAGAGAGAGAGAGAGGGAGCATGAGTGGGAAAGGGACAGAGAGAGAGAGGGAGACACAGGATCTGAAGCAGGTTCCAGGCTCTGCGCTGTAAGCACAGAGCCTGATGCAGGGCTTGAACCACAAAGCTGTGAGATTGTGACCCGAGCCGAAGTCAGACCCTTAACCAACCAAGGCACCCATGCACCCCTGTTATTATTATTTTTTAAGTTTATTTTTATTTATTTTGAGAGAGAGAGAGAGAGAGCAAGCAGGGGAGGGACAGAGAGGGAGACAGAATCCCAAGCAGGCTCTGCACTGTTAGTGCACAGCCCAACATGGGGCTGGAGCTCATGAACGGTGATATCATGACCTGAGCTGAAATCAAGAGTCAGGGGCTAAACCAACTGAGCCACCCAGGCGCCTCTGTGTTACTCTTATTTTTCAGTGCAATAACTTGAATATTATGTTGGCTTATAAAAATATAGATGTACTTTAAAAATCCAAACAGTGCAGAAAAGTATAAAAGAGACTAAAGTCACCTCAGTTCCCACCACTGAGCAGTTATAGGTATTAATATGTGGCATTACTATAAGCCCCAGTGAGCTCGCTCTGCCCGCATACTGGGATGACTTGTGTGTGGTTTTACATGAGCAGCTCGCAGAATACAAGCTGTCTTGTAACCCTCTTACCCGTTCTGTATCCTGGACATCTTTCCCTGTCAGTACAAACTGATCTGTACCCTTTTAAATGGCTGCATAGTACTTGGTTTCACAGATGTGCTGGAAAGTCAACTAAATGTTGCTTTGTCGGGGGTCCTGGGTGGCTCAGTGGGTTAAGCCTTGGACTTCGATTCAGGTCATGATCTCAGGTGCGTGGGTTCTAGCCCCACTTTGGGCTCTGTTCTGACGGCCTGGAAACTGCTTTGGGTTCTGTGTCTCCCTCTCTCTGCCCCTCCCCTGCTTGCTCTCTCTCTCTCTCTCTCTCTCTCTCTGTCTCTGTCTCTCTCAAAAATAAATAAACGTTAAAAAAAATTTTAAGGGGTGCCTGGGTGGCTCAGTTGGTTAAGTGTCCGACTTTGTCACGATCTCATAGTTCGTGAGTTCAAGCCCCGTGTCGGGCTCTGTGCTGACAGCTCAGAGCCTGGATCCTGCTTCGGATTCTGTGTCTCCTTCCCTCTCTGCCCCTGCCCCCTTGTGCTCTGTCTTTCTGTCTCTCAAAAATAAATAAATATAATTTTTTTTAAATTTAAACATTGCTTTGTTGATGTCCATTTTTTAACATTTTTGCTCTTGTAATCAGTACTGAAATATCTTTATAATAAAAAAATTAAAACAGTTAAAAATTCCTTGTGGTTTGGGGTTTGGGGATGAAGGTTTCAGCAGGATGGACCAAAGGAAACCAGCCACGCTTGCGTAGAGAACCAATTTTCAGGGCTTGTTGACGAGGTTCTCGATGCTTGAGGTGCAGTTGTGCCCAGGAGGAGCAGTTTGGGGTGCACAGGTGAGGCTCCAAGGTGTCAGGGAAGGATATTTGGTTCAATAAAAACCCTCACGTGGAAAAGAGCCCATCTCACGTAGAGAGGGCCCCCTTGCAGCGTCTAGGCCAGGAAGTGGCTCTGTCTGGGCCAATCGTCAGGGGCCCCATTACCTTGGAGAGGCCTCAAGCCCCTCTGAGAGATCCTGATAGAAGAGAGAAGAGCAGGGAATGAGTCTTTCCAGCTGCTCCTCAGGATCAGGAGCCAGGCTCAGGGGAAGGGTGGAGAGAGTGATGGGTTGAATGAGTTATCAGCTTGTCACGGGCCTGGCCTGGTGGAAGAAGCCTAGGCCCTAGGATCAGACGGCCGTGTCCAGATCTCTGCTCTGTCATTTACCAGCTGGTGCCCTCCGGGAGACACCTGACCTCTCTGAGCGGCAATTCAGTTTCCTCGTCTGTAAGACAGGCACCGTAACTACTTTCCAGCCCTGCGGGAGGATGTACACAGAGCCCAGTTTCTGGAGTGTGTGGAAACTAATAACATACGTTGTTCTTAGCAGATGCAACTCTAGAACATCATCTAGGCCAAACACGCTTCCTAAACGCTTAGAGGAGAGGGAGCTTGCCGATTTTCAAAGTAGCTTGGATTTGGGCTGATGGGTGTTGGTAGGCGAAGAGGCTGGGCTGCAGGGGAATATGGTATGTGTGTGTGTGTGCGCATGTGCGTTGGGATGGGGGTAGTTAGCTTGTTGCCAAGCACGTGAGTGACCCTGACGCGGTGAGAAAGAGGAGGAGGTGGCGTGGATGTGGCCACAGAGCTGCCACAGGGAGATAGATTAGACGTGGAGGTGGTTGAGGCTAGGCCTGGTTGAGATTCTGCCGTGTGTGGCTCAGTGGAAGAACGTTCTGGGGAGTGCGGTAGCTGCCTCCTGGAAGGACCTGCTTTTCTGAGGCTGTGCTAGCTCCCTGTGAAGAGAAGTGGCCTGGCAGAGGCTCGGCAGGGGTCAGATGGCCTCTAAGGTGGGGTTCATGGCCAAGGTGCCCGGGTCATGGTTGGGGAGGGCTGAGGAAGAGCACAGTAGCCTTGGAAGGGAAGGAAGGGCCAGAGGTGTGTGTGGGGAGAGGAGCCACTGCAGTTCAGGCCTGGCCCTGCTCCAGACAGTGGGCCCCCCGTCCTCCTCGGCCCTGCCCTCCTTCTCCTCGATGCAAGATGGACCTTGTGGCAGGCTCCTGCCTGTGGGCCTTCCAGGCTCCCTGTCTTCCTCTGCTTGCTTTTTCAGGCCCTCTGTGATCCGGACTCCCATCCCCCAACCCCGTTTCCCACAGCTCCTGACTCCCAGCCTGTCTCCTCCCTCATTCCCCAGGCAAAGGGCCGTTCCCCTTTCCCAGAATGTCCACTCTGTCCCTCTCACTGTGCACACCTGCCTTGTCTTTTAGGTCTCATCTTGGGCCCCGTGTACTCAATCTCCTTAAAATGCATGGCCCACCCTGCTGTCTCCTCACAACAGCCTGTAGGAGCCAGTGCCACCAGATAATGGCATGGGTGTCTGCAAGGGGGCCCCTTTCAAGCACAGGCCATGCTCTTTACTTGTTTATGCCCCATGCTAACCTGATGAGCTAGTCACAGTTATTATCCCCGCTTCATAGATGAGGAAACTGAGGCTCAGTGAGGATTCCACCTGAACAGCCTCCAACTGTCTAGTTTCCAAGTTCTTCCCTGCGTGAATGTCTTGTCTCTCCAATGAGCCTGAGGTCTTTCTGGGCAAAAGCCATGACTTTGGCTTCCACGGCTCTTCCAGCAGCGAGCCTGTGCCCTGTGCATTTCCCTGGCCTCACATCAGCTGCAAAGATGGGCATTAGCTTGTTGGGCCTTGGCATAGACTTGGGGGTCCCGGGGCTTGGCTGGGAAGCACCCAGCCCCATTGATGAGAGGACAGGCTGGAGACAGGTGGAGAGGGAGCGTGGAGCTGAGCCCTGGCCTGGGGGCCACCCTGGGCATCTCACCCATTTCATTCTCTCCTTGCCTCCACCAGGGAACTCAACGGCAACAACATCACTCGGATCCATAAAAATGACTTTGTGGGACTCAAGCAGCTGCGGGTGCTGTGAGTAACCTCCCTTCTGCCCCTACCCTTGGCAGTGGCCCTGTGGCTCCTGAGCAGAGTCCTGGCTGTGGGTTGTAGGGTTGTGGGCCAGAGACCCTGGATGCCCTGAGGGGGGTGGAGTGGAAGGGCCAGTGAGTCCTTCCCCCGAGCAGCCACTGTCTTGCACACGGCTGAGCACTTGGGCTCAGCATAGGCACCAGTGGTCGCTGCCTGGCAGGGTCTGGGCCGGACAGATGGCGCGTCTTGTCTGTTGGTTGTATCCTGGAATGAGGGAAGACCGGGTAACCATGAGGAACCTTTAGGTCTCTGACTTAGCCTGCTGGGGCTGCCATAACAAAACACCCACAGACGGGGTAGCTTAAACAACAGGAATTTACTTTCTCACAGTTCTTGAGGAAGTCTATGATCAAGGTGCCATCAAGGTTGTTTGTAGTGAAGCTTGTCTTCTTGGCCACCTTCTTGCTGTGTCCTCATATGGCCTTTCCTCTGTGTGTGCAGAGAGAGAGATCTTTGGTGTCTTTTTCTCTTCTTATAAGGAGACCAGTCCTACCAGATTAGGGCCCTACCCTTATGACCTCATTTAACCTTAATAACCTCCCTAAAGGCTCCATCTCCAAATCACGTTGGGGGTTAGGACCTCAGTGTATGAATTTTGGGGGATGCATTTCAGCCTATAACATTCTCCATAGTTCTTTTGACTCTGTGCCTCAGAAAGACTCTCCGGCAAGGCTACCCCTGACTTGAGACGGTAGATGAGTGGGGGCAGTTGAGGATAGAGGTGACCCCCCTTGGGTGCCTGACAGAGGCAGATACTGGAGGTGATGGGTGTGGCTCTATTGGCGTTGACCACTAGCCAGCAAAGGAGCCGTCCACAGCATTTCCCTTGTTGGGCTGGGCAGGGGTGAGGAGTGAGGACTGAGGAGTGAGGAGGGGAAAGGGTGGATCCCTTCGTCTCTTCCTGCTCTACTCCTCTCAGACACATGCATGCGTTCTGACACATTCAACATCAGACAGTCATAGGGTCCTCACCCCCTACTGTCAGGGTAGTGCAAGGGTCCTGGGGCCTCAGTTCTTTCAGAACTACTTTGCAGTTCTGAGGGTCTTGGGTGGGTCTGGGGACCTTGTGGTCTCCATCTTCCCTGGGGTCATAGCTGTCAGTTGCTGGGCAGGGGTCTCTGCTGCTCCAGAACCCCCTGATCTTTGACTCCTCCCCAGGCTCCAGGAATCTCTTCTGAGTACAGGAAAACCCTCCTTCCCTCCTGTCACCCCCCACCCACCCAGGCCTCCAGCACGAGCTCCTCAACAGCTCGGGCTTTTGGAAACAAGGTGGAAGAAGAGAAGTGTGTGGTGGCAGCTTCTGCCCCTGTCCCATCCCCAAACCTCCTCTGAGGTCCGTGTGAGACCTCGAGCCACCCGCTTGAGAGTGGACAGGAGAAAAACCACAGGGAGAAAAATCTACTCAACGGTCTCCAAAATTCCCACGCAACAAGCAAACTGCCTGCCAGCCGGATGTTCTGGGCTGTAGGGCGCGTTGGTGGTGAGGAGGTGCAGTCTCGTGGAGCCAGGTGGTCGAGTGGGCAGCAGATGGGGCCAGGCGGTGTAGGAGTGCGGGCAGAGGGGTGCTGGCTGCCAACTGCAGTGTGTTTGCTGCACGTGTGGGCTTTGCCCAGTTGGCACAGGCTCCCCGCCCCCTGCTACCGGCCCATCCCCCTGCTCTGCCGCTTGGACATGTGCCCTCTGGGCTGAAGGAGGGCACGTGCGCCAGCAGCCTGGCATTGACCCCTGCTGCCTGGGTCCCAGCTTCCCAAGACGAGGATGTCTTTGGAGCTGTGGCCTGGTGCTCTGGGATCCTGTGACCACGGTGGCCGCTTCAGAGGTCTCGGCATGGGCTCGGGGGCTGGAAGTGCATCTTGCTGCTGGGGCTGAGCGTGCCCGCCAGCCCTGTCGGGAATTTGCAAGCTTGTGAGGCAGTTTTGTCCACTCGGGCCGGAACGCGGGTCTGCGTGTATCTCCGGCCCTGCTCCTGTTTCACTCCCTTGTGCCATCTGCTGCTGAGAGTTCCTGTCCAACACCCTGCAGCTGTCCTGTCTCTTTGCCTCCCCAGGCAGCTGATGGAGAACCAGATTGGAGTGGTGGAGCGGGGGGCTTTCGACGACATGAAGGAGCTGGAGCGGCTGTAAGTATCTGCGGGCACAGGCTTGGGGCGGTGGGGTGGCGCCGGGGGCACATGATGGCTGAGTCTGGCAGCGAGGGCCATGTGCGGGGAGAGGACTGCACGCCCCGCCCGTCTCCCACCTGCTGATGGGAGCCAGGGGGAGCCGCAGCCGTGGAAGCTGTCACGGCATTGTTGTCGTGAGATGACAGCAAGGACAAAGCTGGAGGGTGTCCGCACCCCGTGCTCTAAAAGCAACCGTCTGTTGGTTTTCCCTGAAAATACATCATGGCAAAAAATCCATGCAGTACTGAGGAAGTGAGATGGCTTCATATCATCTCATACCCACTGATTTGTGTAGCCATAAGGAAGAAATGGTGTGCCAAGGGGACCGTCAGGGAAGGTACAGTGACCGGCCACCTGAGGATTTGTGTCTTGGGTGTTCAGGGCCACAGCACAGAAACCGGAAGGTGGAAATGTTTCTGATTTACATGGTTTGCTCCATACAGGGCTCTTGCATTTGAAAATGGGTCTTGATCAATTTTTGCATTTCAGGTTGGCAGTAATGAAAAGAAAAGGGAATGTGGTACGAGTGAGGTGGGGGATAGACACTCAAGTTCACGGTGGTCACTGGTCTCATTTTTTTGCTTTGGTTTGGCTCTCAAGAGGTGCGCAGAGTCCTGAAGTTCATGCCCTTCGAGCCAGAAAGTCCCATTTCATTTTAAGGAAATAATCAGAGATGTGGCTAAAAATTTGTATATCAGGGGGATATTCATGGCACATCATTTAAATACAACAAATACAACAAAAAAATGGAAAACCATTCTGGTGGAGACATAAGATACCAGATCACATTTGTCAAGAACAGTTGAGACCATTGGAATGTGCTCACAATGTAATATTAAATGAAAAAGGCAGGAAGTGACATTTATGTAAATTAAATCAGCTTGTATGTACATAGAATACAGGAGGAGGAAAATCATTGGGAATATTAACTCTCATTACACTGAGTGGTGGGATAATTTTATTCTTTGTGCTCATCTTTTTGATGAATTTTCTTACAATGAGTTTATAATTATAATTATAGCTACTGTTGATTGCCTTACTCTGTGCCAGGCGCCAAGCTGAGCTCTTTGCCCTACTGTATCTCATTTAATCCTTAAAACAACACAGTGGTCAGTGGCATTTTACGGATGAGAAACAGAGGTGCAGTGCAGTTAAGGCACTTGTGTTATTAAGTGATTATTAAGAGATTAACGGCAGAAGAAGGGATTAGAACCCAGATCATTTTCCCTCCAAAGCCTGAGATCTTAATGGCTATGACCTCATACCTCACTCTTCTCTTTTACTTCAAAGAAAGGGAGGTATTAAATAAAGGGAGAAGAATATGGCTGTCTTCTTGCCTTCCTGCTGCCTGGAAGACATTCAAGGCGATCTTTCTTTTGTGTTCTTCATCCAGGCCTAAACCTGAGCAATAAGGAGGCTGCAGCTAGGACAGATGATTAGTCCTGTGTTTGTTTTCTTGAAAAGGCTCAGAACAAAATATGTCCTCGTGACTTGGCTGGGAGGGCCTGGTTGGGACCTAACCCACTGCAGCTCTGGCTGGGCGCTGCCCTGCCCTGCAGGAGGAGAAAAGGTGGGCGGGGGTCTACCCACATTGCGGGTGGCCCAGGTCATGCCTACTGCTGCCACCAGGATGGGGCAGGGACCTGTAGGTTCCTCGCCGTGCTGGGTCCCTCCTTTGGAGTCCTTTGATTTTCTACTTTAAACTGGCTATTGAATTTTTTTTCCCTCTTAAATGTTTTCAGAAATTGAAGCCAGAAAGATGAGAAAGTCCTGGGGGAAAACAAAACAAAAAAAAAACAATGATTACCAGACAGTGTAAACACAGGATTAATTTACTGGACAAGGTGAAGGAACTTGAGGTGATCTGATGTCTACTCCTGTTGCTTTAAGGATTATATTGGTGGTCCCCCCCGCCCAACCCGCTTTTTTTTTTCCAAGGCAGTGGTGTGTTTCCCTAGGAGCCCTCCCTTTTGAGTAAACCTCTTCCAGCTGGTCTAATTGTCTGCGCCGCGCTAAAAAATGATGCCTTTCTCACATATCAGACGAAGAGCGACCTCCGAGGAGGTTACCACAGACCAGTTACTATTGGCCGCAGAGAACTACATTTCTTCCTCCCTCCCAGCGGAAGAAAGCTCTTGCCGAGTTGGTTTCTCATCGTCCAGCACTGTTGAAGGGGATGGTCGTGTGAGGCCCAAACTGTGCTGTAGTCTGGAGGGCGGGGGCTGCCTCGTACTCTTGTGCTTCTCCAACCTTGATGTGCACGTAGATCACTGGGGGATCTTGTTAACATGCAGACTCTGACTCAACAGGGCTGGGGTACGCAGTGCTTACCAACTCCCAGGTGAAGCCCCTGCAGATGGTCTGTGTGAGCACCAAGGTTCTACATTTATAGGTGCCACAGCCCCAGTGGACGGGCCTCCAGTGCTCTGGTGTAGAGAACTAGGTGCTGAAGGTGGCAAGAAGCTTCTGGTTAGGCATCGCTGCCTTCCTGGGACGAGTCCGGGTCCTTTCTGTATTGGGTCTTCTCCGCCAGGCCACCTTCCAGGACCAGACTTCCCACTCCTGCCTGTGTTTACAAAACGGGGAGTCGTCTGTCCACCCGTGGAGCAATTAGAAATGATGGGCATACTAGTCAGTCATTAAAAATAAAGGGGTCGTTCTCTATCGTTTGGCATGAAAAGACATCCACAAATTGTTGAGTGAGGAAAATGCAGGTGGCTGAATACTTTTTCTTCTATTGCTTGAAGTTTTTAAAGAATTAAGCATGCGTTTTCATACATAATTTAGAAAATCGAGAAAGCTGTTTTCATTTTGAAAAAAGACCTAAAGCAAACACTAAAAAAAAAGTTAAGTTGCCACGGAGTCAAATGTGGATGAAACAACAAAAAATCAGGACCTTGTGGCTAGTCCTACCCCATAAGGGTATATCTCACATTTCAAGTGTAGTCAGGTATTCAGCTCGAAAACCAAGATGATATTTGAATCAGTGCCTTCTAAATTACAAAGGGTCATGCAAATGTAACGATGATGATGATGAGCAAGGGAGGAAGTCATGGAAGGTGTCGACGCCCACTGTACTTCGGGTCCTTGGTGGGGAGCTTTCATAGGCGCTCTGTGCTTCTCCTCCCCAAGTGTTGGATGGTGAATTCCCACTTTATAGATGAAGAAACTGAGGCCCGGAGGAGGTAATTTCCCTGGGGTTACACAGTGACTTTGTTAAAATTTGAACCCTGTGCCCTCTCACTCTGAGTCCAGTGCTTTCTGAAAAGTCTTTGGATTTCCTGGAACACTTAGGCAACTTCCAACTCTCCCTTTCTTCTTTTTTTCAGACGACTGAACCGGAACCAGCTGCACAGTTTGCCAGAACTGCTGTTCCAGAATAACCAGGCTCTGTCGAGGCTGTGAGTGACACTGTGGCCAAAACTCTGTCTGTGGTCTAGTCCCTCACCCTGTGGGAGGGGCAGTGTCTGGTCAGGGGGACCCAGAATTTCCCATGACGGTGACCTCCTGCTCCTCACCTGTCAGGAGTTGCACGGGGCATCAAAAGCCAGGCCCTTTCTGTAGGAAGGTGCTGCGTGGGGGCATTTCTGTCTGGTGAGCACTTGCAGAATCCACGACTCATTCAGTTCTGTGTGCTGCCTCTGACAGTGTGGATGTGAGAATGTTCTGGGAGTGGACATTCTCTTCAGCCGTGATGCCAGGCTTTATGGGGAGCACTGTCTTTGCGCATCTGTCTCAGCCTTTGGTAACCTGCCTTGGGCCGAATATTTATTCATTCAACTAAGCCCTTCTTGGACCTATTTATATTTTCAGATCGGGGTAATAAGGTCTGGAAACTTAGTAACCATGGCTTCTATCTGCTGTAAATGTACTTCTTCCAAGTTTAAAGGGTAGTGGCTAATTCTGCTACTCTGTGATGTGCTAAATGTGTCTGTAATTGTTCTAGCATTTGCTTCTTTTTTGGGATCTTGGGTTGGAGAGGACCTTAGAGATCATCTAAGGAATCTCTTCTGCAGATCCTTAGCCTGTGGTCCTTCAGTCTTTGCTTGGCTACCTCTAATGATGGAGAGTTCACCACCTCCACAGTCAGTTGCATTATTGCACAGATCTGCGTATTAGAAACATTTTGTTGGGGCGCCTGGGTGGCGCAGTCGGTTAAGCGTCCGACTTCAGCCAGGTCACGATCTCGCGGTCCGTGAGTTCGAGCCCCGCGTCGGGCTCTGGGCTGATGGCTCAGAGCCTGGAGCCTGTTTCCGATTCTGTGTCTCCCTCTCTCTCTGCCCCTCCCCCGTTCATGCTCTGTCTCTCCCTGTCCCAAAAATAAATAAACATTGAAAAAAAAAAAAAAAAAAAAAAGAAACATTTTGTTAACTTTGAGCCCCAAATCTGTGTTCCAACAATTTATGTTTTCCTTCACTTTGCTTTCCGTAGGTATCTACAACAACTGTGTCCTCTTGTTAGATTTTTAAAAATGTTTACTTATTAATTTTTTGAGGGAGAGAGAGCGAGTGAGAGAGAGCGTGTGTGAACAAGGGAGGGGCAGAGAGAGAGAATCCCAAGCAGGCTCCGCGCTGCCAGCATAGAGCCCGACTGGGGACTTGAACTCATGAACCTGTGGGATCGTTACTTGAGCCGAAACCAAGAGCCAAACATTCAACCGCCTGAGCCACCCAGGTGCCCCTCTTGTTAGATTTTGGAAGGGCTGTAGGGATTTTGAATTTTAGGTTGGGAGGTTTTTGAGTTCTTTCAGTTGTCATTAACAACCTGGTTGGGACCTGCATGGCCAGCAGAGCACCATGTGAGGAAGTGAGGCTGCTGGTCTCCCCTGAAGAAGTTTATAGGCAGCACCGAGGTGGAGGAAGAGGCAGCAAGTGACTTAGACAAGACTGAGGGGCAGGGGCTGGGTGGGAGACGGCACCCTAGGGCTGCCTGAGTGCTGATGGGTGTGACTGGGAGTTTGGATTAAGCACAGCCGGTTTTTTCCATGTCTGTCACGATTTCCAAAGCTCTTGATTAGCCTGTGTCATTGAACCTGCCTTCAAGTTTTTGTCTTTGAGCTGTCCAAATGGTCTCTATGGTCATTTCCCGTTTCTTCCTCCTTCTGGCCTGGAGGATCTCCATAGTGACCCTCAGTGATGACCCCTTCTGCTGGTCTTCGCCACCCCTGGGCTTGAGCCGGGCCTTCTTCAGTCCCCCATCACTTGGTGGGTTGGTGCTTTCATTCCAGGCTGGGCATACACGGTGGGCACTTTACTTAGCTGCTGAAGGTGCGTGGTCCTTCCCAGCAGATGCGTCCGCCCTAACATCTCCCTAACCTGTGCTTTAACCTGAGTTCTGTGCTGTTACTGGTCACGGGCAGGTGCTGGCCTTGCCCTGTCCTGGCTCCAGCAGCTCCTGTTTTCTCTGTGCTGTCCTTTCTAGAAGCTGGCTCTCGCAGGTCTTATCACAGCTCCGCCTCTGCAAAAATTCATCCCGAACATCTTTTCCCTTGGTGTCCTCCTGTACTTTTCTTTTCGCTTTCCCCAAGCCCTCTTCACCTTGCAAAAGTCTGCCCTCATGCTCCCAGCATTATCTGTCTGCTCGGCTTCCCTTCCCCTCGGCCATCCCGACCCACTGTCTTCCACTGACCAGCGTTCAGAGTATGTGTCTAGTGCGTGCTTGTCGTTGAGCTCTGGGCACCTGCTTTGACCCTCTCTCACTTATGTTATGAAACATTTTATTTATTTATTTAGAGAGCAAGTCGGGGAGGGGCAGAGAGAGAGAGAGAAGGAGAGAGAGAGAGAATCCCAAGCAGGCTCCTCACTGCCAGTGCAGAGCCTGACGTGGGGCTTGAACCCACGAACCGTGAGATCATGAACTGAGCTGAAATCAAGAGTTGGACGCTTAACCCACTGAGCCACCCAGTCACCCCAGACCTTATTCATTTTATAGCTGAAAGTTCGTGTCCTGTGATCTACCTCTTCCTATTTTCCCCCACCCCCAGCAACCACTTTGCCATTTGCCATTTTCTGTTTCTATGAATTTGACTTTTTTTTTTTTTTTTTTTTTTTTTTTTTTTTTTTTTTTTTTTTTTTTAGATTCAACATATGAGTGATACCATGGAGTACTTGTCTTTCTCTCTCTGGTTTATCTCACTTAGCAAAATCCCTCAAGGTCCATCCACATTGTTACAAATGGCAGGATTTTATTCTTTTTCATGGTTTAATAGTATTCCATTATATATATATCACATCTTTATCCATTCATCTGTTGATGGACACTTAGGTTGTTTCCATCTCTCATTTATTTTAAAATACCCAAGATCCCTTCATATGAATCTAAATTCACAAACTTCCAGCCTTTTGCTTAAGATTACTTCTAACCCTATTCATATTTTGACATCTTTGGCCATAGCCTTCCACCAGCTCTTGGGGCTGAAGGGGATAGGATGGCTCCACAGGGGTCTTTATCCAACTCTTGGGTCTACCTTTTACCAGGTGCCCTGGTGCCTTTTATTGGTGTCCTGCCTGTCCGTGGGCTCCCCTCCTGACAGTGGTGACACAGTGTGGTCCATGTGGCTGCCTTCTTGGCCTGTGTCTAGAGAGCTTGGATCCCTGGTGGAATGGGAAGGTAGCCTGGAGGAGAAAATCAAGGGTCAGGTGGTCCTGGATTTTTCAAGGTGTAACGCCAGATGGTCTAACTTCCTGGGGTCTGCTTTTCTTACCGGTACGCTGTTGGGCTATCAGGAGGCTGAGCTGAGATCGTGCACGTAAAGCATCCAGGTCTGCAGCTGATGTCCGTTGTGCTCTGGGCAATGTTGGTGAGTGAATGGCCCTGCAGTGAAGCTGGCGGTCCCGTGTCTCGTCTGACACCTGTGACCCTGCGAGGTGAACAGAGCGTCATGGTTTTATTGCTGTTGAAAGTCAGGAAAAAGTCAAAGTTGGAGGGGTAAAGCGACCTCCTCAGGGTCAGTACTGAAGCCCCTTTGGACTCCCCACCCAGTGCTCTTCATGTTTTACTGGAGAAAAGCACTTCTATGCCTTAACAAATATTGAATAGCTGAGTTTTATATCCAAAGGCTGGCACAAGGAGCTCCATTCAAGGAGTGGAAAAGCCATTGAAGGGGACAGGAGTCTGCCTGACTCGTGCTCTTGGCACCCTATAGGGCTGGGAGCTGGAGGCAGTGGCCTCCAGAAACATTGGATGTTCTTACCCCAGTGGCTTGGGGCTGGCTGCCTTGGGGAGGGGCCAGTCAGCAGTGGACAGAAGGACTTCCAGGAGATGGGCCCTCCCGATCGAAGGCTTGGTGGCTCTTTGGGGAATATTTCCAGGCTCTAGAGCCAGAACCTTTCCCAGTGCCTGCTGCTTTTTCCTTTTAGGCAATGGGTCCCTAACTCTTGGGAGGAGATGTTTCTTATCCAGGAGCATAGCCAGACCCGGGTGGAGGGGGACTGCTTTCTCTAGCTCTCCTCTAGAATATTTCTTAAGCTCATCTGTAAGCACAGGTGTGCCAGCCATCAGGACTTTGAGGAGAGCTCCTGTGCATTTTCCCCCTTAGGTCAGCCCAGGACTTGAGTTCATGACTGGGCCCAACTTGGTTTAGTGCAGCATGGTGCCCCTCCAATTCAGGCCATCTCAAAAGTACACATTCTGAGGGAAATGGTTAAACAAACCCTTTGGTTGATCTGGTTGTTTGTGGCGTGTGGCCTCACTGAGCTTTTTACCTTTGTTGCTGTTCTAGGGAACAGTGAGGAGCAAGTGCTTAGAGTATTATTTGCTAACAGTCTTTGTCCCACCTCCACCCTGTCTATTGACTTGAACATCTGGCATTGCAAAACACCTCTGTTAACTCTCCCAGTCCACTTGGTCTGTCCAAGCAGCACTTGGGCACTCTCAGCTCCAGAAACAGGAACTCCTGCACGCTGGTGACGGTAAGGGTGTGGTGGGGTACTTGAAGGGGACAACCAGCAGACTCAGTTTCCCCAGGACAGGAAGTGAAGTAGAGCTGGGACCAGGACTGAGATGTGAAGGGTGTTTCTAGTTCTTTCTGAATATCTACTTATTATGGGCTTATGGACAACATCTCAGTTCCACCATGACTTTGGTTAGCCACAGTGCCGACTCCCCTCCTGCTTCTTCTGACTTTGGAGTTAATGCCCAGGCCTCAGGTCCTAACTCCAGATTTCTGGGGAAAGAATCTGATTGGCTCACCTCATGACCTCATGATTGGTCATGAGATCATCCCCAGGCCAAGGAGCTGGGTTGGGGGTTTGTGGGGTCACCCGGTGTAGTCTCACCATGGAGCCCGCTCCTCCTCCAGGACCTGGAGGGGGACCACATTCCCTTAAGAGCCAGGGAGAGAGGGGAGGCAGGGCCTGGCGTTTCTGGTCTCTCACCCGTTGACCTCCCCTCTGCTTTAAGG